CCCCCTCCCCCTCCTCTCTCCTCCCTCCCTCCCTTGTCTCTATTCTTGCAAATCGTAGGTGTTTTGAATAAAATAGAAGTAAGAAAATTTAGGGTAGAACTAGGGTAGTAGAATTTTTAGCAAGTGTTTAATAGAAATAGTTTATTTAGTAAGTGATTAATATAACTAGTTTATTTATATTAAGTGCTTAATAGACTAGTTTATTTAGTAAGTGCTTAATAGAACTAGTTTATTTATAGCAAGTGCTTAATAGAACTAGTTTATTTACTAAGTAGTTAAAAACTAGTCTATTTAGTAAGTAGTTAATAGAACTACTTTATTTAGTGTTAGGATTATATATGATATTTTCAAATGTTTTTTTTCATATTTTGAACCATTGAAATGCAATGACCATCGATAAGTGGCCTATGTTTTGCCGGAGTGTTGATTAATTTCCATTTCAGCAAATTTCAGGCGCTCGATATGTCCTTTTTTAGCAAACGTCATGCCTGATTTTTTGGGTTTTGCCGTCGAGTTATAATCTTTGAATTTTGAACACAGGAGATGTCTAATGACGATGGGATCCCGGAGTGCGGGTACTGTTACGATGACCGTGGTGTGTGCGACAGGTTTCCTCACCTGCAAAATGATAGGTTTTTCACCGTGAAGCTGGAAGAGACCTTCGATGTTTGTACGGTACGCAACGACAAGCATTTCATCGTAATAAATATCATCACTTGTGCTTCTTTTATTCAACGTGTAATTTATGGATTTTTTCCAATTCGACCAGTACATCCCGTGCCATGCTAGACCATATGTACTGGAGAAGCTTGGTTTAGGTTTAGATGACTTTGATAATGTGGAGACGAGGAGGGCTCACTTAAGAACTAAACATGGTTATGAGTTTCTGGTTAAGTTCTACAATGCGGTCGATCGCTCCCATTTAGGTTGCTCTAATTGGGAAGCTCTATGCAAGGTATATGGATTTGAGGAGGGAATGCGAATAAGATTTGATATTCGTCCCGAAGATTATGATGATGATGATGATATCAACATCTGGGTGGATGTGGATATGCCTCCAGTTTTATCTAGATGTAAGTTTGTCAAACTAATTTGTTAAGTTCAGTAATTTATGTTGTTAATTTAAAAATATTTGTTGTTCATCCGTACTAAACTTATTTATTTATAATTCTCAGCTTATTTCTTATCTTCATGAAATACTCAAAAGGTAGTAGACAACACATACTACAGCTATGACTCCAAGCTTAATTGTGAGGAGAAAGGTTATCTTGTCTCATTCATAGAAGATGTTGAGGCCTTCAGAACCAGACACTCTATGAGCCCAAATTATACTAGATATGTGCCACTAGTCCATAAATTGCTTGATGGTAACTTCATTGCCAAAAACTTGGTAAGATTTTGTTAATGATGGTAACTTCACTACATACATTATTCTTAAGTAAACTACATTACTAACTATACATGTTATTATTTCGTTCTTGAACAGAGGCTCCCGAAGCAGGTTGTGCCTGACATGCTATGTACCGAAGGTGATATGCATATGGTTAGCTTACGACCAACTCCTTCAGAGGCTTACCATACTGCATACTCGATTTCTTCAAATGATGGAAGGCTCAAAATCAAATAATGGAGCAAAGTGATGAATGCGCACATGCAAATAATTGGAGACAAAATGAATGTGCGAAGCCACAAGTTGGAGATAGGTTTATGTCCATTCTCCATTATGGTGAAGGACCGGTTTATTTGTTTTATGGTATTTTAGTTAGGAGAGAGGAGTAGGTCCTAAGTATTAAGAACAATTAGTTAGTGTTGATTATATATGACTACAATGTCTTAGACTTGATGGTGATGCTGAGTAGGAGTAGTGATTATGAGTACTATGATGATGAGGAGGAGTTGTTATTATAAGTTAAAGGATCGATATAGTTGACTAGAGGGGGGGTGAATAGGCAACTAACAATTTTAATACTTTTCTTTACCAAATTAAACTTTGCATCAAAGTAGGTTGTCTAGATATGCAACTAGGTGAGCAACCTATATGATGCAACAAAGACTAGCACATAAGCAAGCAAGGGATACAACACAAATAAGCTTGCACAAGTAAAGGCACGAGGTAACCAAGAGTGGAGCCGGTGGAGACGAGGATGTGTTACCGAAGTTCCTTCCTTTTGAGGGGAAGTACGTCTCTGTTAGAATGGTGTGGAGGCACAATGCTCCCTGATACGTCTCCGTCGTATCTATAATTTTTGATTGTTCCATGCCAATATTCTTCAACTTTCATACACTTTTGGCAACTTTTTATATTATTTTTGGGACTAACATATTGATCCAGTGCCTAGTGCCAGTTCCTGTCTGTTGCATGTTTTATGTTTCACAGAAAACCAATATCAAACGGAATCCAAACGGGACAAAAACGGACGAAGAATTATTTTGGAATATTTGGGATTTTCTGGAGGAAGAATCAACGCGAAACGGTGTCCGAGGTGGCCACGAGATAGGGGGGCGCCCCAGGGAGGCAGGCGCGCCCTGGCCTCTCGTGGGCCACCCGTAAGGTGGTTGATGCCCTTTTTTGCCGCAAGAAAGCTAATTTTACGAGAAAAATCTGGGCGAAAGATTCACCCCAATCGGAGTTACGGATCTCCGAATATTTAAGAAACGGTGAAGGGGTAGAATTAGAGAACGTGGAAACAGAGAGATAGATCCAATCTCGGAGGGGCTCTCGCCCCTCCCACGCCATGGGAGCCAAGGACCAGAGGGGAAACCCTTCTCCCATCTAGGGAGGAGGTCAAGGAAGAAGAAGAAGAAGGGGCCATCTCTCCCCCTTGCTTCCAGTGGCGCCGGAGCGCTGCCGGGGGCCATCATCATCACCGCGATCTTCACCAACACCGTCGTCATCTTCACCAACATCTCCATCACCTTCCCCCTTCTATATCTAGCGGTCCACTCTCCCGCATCCCGCTGTACCCTCTACTTGAACATGGTGCTTTATGCTTCATATTATTATCCATTGATGTGTTGCCATCCTATGATGTCTGAGTAGATTTTCGTTGTCCTATCGGTGATTGATGAATTGCTATGATTGGTTTAATTTGCTTGTGGTTATGTTTCTGTCCTATTGTGCCCTCCTTGTCGCGCAAGCGTGAGGGAGTACCGTTGTAGGGTGTTGCAATATGTTCATGATTCGCTTATAGTGGGTTGCGTGAGTGACTGAAACACAAACCCGAGTAAGAG